GTCAAATCAGTCTCAGTCTTGTTCAGTAAAACTTGTTCCTCTTCCATAGCATCTTTTAAACACAGTCTATCTATAATGGCAGAAACTCTTAAAGTTAACTTCTGGATCCATTGTTCACAAATATTTTTCAATATGTCCAATGTCAAAATATTTTGCTCCATTCTGTATTAGTAAGATCAAATTTATGTGTTCTTCTCCTTTAATTGTAATCTTTAGTTCCTTCTGGTTCCCTCTAGTATCCAACCTCAAAGTCCCATCCTATCATCTTTTTTTTAAAGAATTCAAAATAACAGCATTTTCCCATGGGAAGGATTCTTATAATTAATTTCAAAATACTATTTCAAATTCCTCCAGACCTTTATTCCATTTGTAACTTTCCAAAATCAATGTTCTAAGCACTCTTTTGTGATTTATTAAAAAAAAAATTTTTTTTTTTTTATTTAAAACTTCTTTGGCTAAGGATTGAAGGAAACTCAACCGATGCTATAAAACTTGTCAATCCAAAGGTTCCTAACAGCTGAAAAGCGGTTAAGAAACAATTTCTGAAAATGATTAAGAAATGAGGCTCAGCAAACCTTATGTCCATATAGGCTGCTTTATGGCTGTAAGCTTGATTGAAAACCCTTGACTCCCAGCTGCTCAAGTAAGAAGCTGACCTGCAGTTCCTGCAGTCTACTCATAAGGAGCAGCTGTATGGGGTACAAGTGGGCAATCTCACGATCTCTCCTTTTTCCGGAGAGATTTTGCCAGCCAGAATTTGCTGTCTGGCTGCCAATCTCTGCCGCAGTTCCACCCCCATTCCTTCAGGGACATCTAGTTTACCATGAATCCTCACCAGAAGTCCCCCTCCCTCCTATCTCTATGAATTTATTGGAATCTATGAGGACAGCTCTCATGTACATGTTCTAATATAGTAGAGTTGCCATAAAGCTTTTCCTCAGATGAATGTTCACTGTTCTTGAAATGGAATAGATACAAAGAATAGATAACTTTGTCCAGATTATTTCTGTGTCTGGAAGAGCAACATTTATTAAGATTTTTTTTTGTCATCCATTTTCAAGAGTTACTGTCTTCTTAAAATTTTCCTTAACCAACTTATCTAAAATGATCCTGAAATGTAAATGTCCATTTATCTGTTAGCCCATCAGCAGGTTAACTCCCTAAATACTAAACAGAACTGGAGCAATTTTTGGGGGGTGGAGAGCCAGGAAAATGAGTTCAAAATTGGGTCAAATCAGTATATGGAGAAAACAATAGTTTGGAGCAATTTTTCCCTACGTTGTTGTTGTTCCTTAGGAGCTCAAAATAATATTGTAAGGTTTTCAGAAATATTATGATAAAGTATAAAGGCCCAGAACTTATACTGAGCTTCGCAGTAACTGCTGTGAAGAATATCAGAAGGTACTTCTTTATATCTTTCTTTATATCTTTCTCTTTCTTTCTACTTTCTACTTTCTTCTATTTTCTTTTCTTATTGCACTTTTAGCTTTTTCTGTTATTTCTCTCTCTTTTGTTTTCTCTGTTCTAATTTAATTTGTATTAGTTCTTATTATTGCTTTTAAAACTTTTAAATATATATATTTAAAATTCTCATATATATATATGAGAAACAACTATGTTGTAGCTGTAGATATGTGCCAGATAAAATTGCATTTATACAGAAAAAGGTCCCTAGTATTTTGAATACTCACCCTTATCTCTCCTAGCACAAAATAAAATAAAATAAAATAAAATAAACATAATTTTTTATTTGAATACAATTATCTTGATTTCTTAATCTCTTTCTTCACATTTATTGATTTTTATTTTTAAACAGCAAAATTTAATGTTAGTGGCTTGAAGGTTTTCAAAATGAAAAGAGAAGATGGAAACCCTTCAGAAAACTGGCAAGGAAGAGAGCACAGTATATTAAAGACTAGAAATGGAGAAGAAATTTGTTGGTTCCAGGTTTTGATGCAGTTTGAATTAATAGGTGCTCCCACAATTGATAATAGACAAACTAGAATGCAAACACAATTGTCTTTTAGTTTTTGCAGTACAGTACTTTGGCCAATAAAAGTATTTAAAAATAGCATAGAAGATAGCATATAAGAAGACATATATTAGGAGAAATTGCTTGCAAAGAAATGCACATATTAAGACAAAAAATGCCTAAGAATGCAAACTGATGCCAAACCAGGATAAAATATTTGTGGTTTAAAAAAAATGCTAATGTCATAGGAAATGAAACAGGCAATTTTGTCCATCTTTACAGAAGACTGCAATTTAGCCTGTTGCTGATGCGGCTTCTTAGAATGATATTGCTCCGCTTCTGCATTTAGTAATATAGACAGGCAAAAGTCGAATTTCAAACAAGATGGGAAAGGCTATTTCCACTCAGCACAACCTCTCATCTGATTGCTTTTAGAGGGCTTACATTTAAAGCCATTTAAATCTCGCTTAAATCCTTCTGCACAGAAGCCGACTCCAAAGTGGGCGCCTACAAATCAAGCTCTCTCCAAACAAACTGAAAGTAAAAATAAACCCATCGCCACCCTTCCTCCCCCTCCCCCTCTTCTTCTTCCTCTTCTTCTTCTTCTCAGAACAGTGTTGCATGAACATGTAGAAAGTAAAAATAAACCCATCGCCACCCTTCCTCCCCCTCCCCCTCTTCTTCTTCCTCTTCTTCTTCTTCTCAGAACAGTGTTGCATGAACATGTAGAAAGTAAAAATAAACCCATCGCCACCCTTCCTCCCCCTCCCCCTCTTCTTCTTCCTCTTCTTCTTCTTCTCAGAACAGTGTTGCATGAACATGTATGTATATATTTATCCTATTTCTATATAAGATCTCTGAATGCCTTTTCTTTTCAAATTATTGGTGGTTACAAGATGAGAATATTTGCTGAATTCTTTCACTCTCCCCCTTCTCTTGCCAACCGCTGCATTTGAGTTTTAGACTTCCCACAAGGCACAATAGTAGCTATTTCTTCACATGCATACAGTACACAATGCTTTTCTGGGTTGCTCAGCAACCAGTGAAGAGGCATGTCAAAGATCCAATGAATGAAAAGAAAATGTGACAATGCCTGAACATTAAAAAAGATATGGGGCAACTTGTTCTGCTGCTCTTCAATCTACATTTCTTCTGAAATGGACCTATCAGTCACAAAGTACCCTATTTCAACTGGGGAAAACAGAAACCTTTTTGCAAAATTGATTTCAGCGCAACTCTGCACCTATTTATTCTGAAGCTGGCCTCACCAATTTCCAGAACATGCCCTTACTGTGCTTGTGTTTCTGGATTTCTTCTTGCATGAATTGTGCTTGTCCATTTCATCTCTATCACAGAGACAACCATGGGGTTAGAAAAACAAAGTAAACCTGAATGAATGCCAGTGCTTAGCTATGAAGTCAAGAGCCCCGGATCTGTCAAGAAGCGACTTATTTTGAGCATATTTGTTAAATATATGAAAATAGTTGAGGAAGAGAATAAGATTACATGCACTGGGGCTGCCCAATCCTTACATTCTTCTGATAGAGTAAACAGAACTGTCTAAGAATACAACTGTAATAGCATAGGCTGTTCCACAACTGGGAATCTCTGGAAAAGACTGGGACCCTCACTTCACAAATAGAGTTTATCAATATCCTTCATTTACACTTTCTGTTAAATGTACAAAACTGAGACTGGGGGCATAGATGCAATACAATGGGATTAGTTGCTCATCAAGATTTGCTACAGGGGCCCAGAACTTTTTCTGGGCTAAGGCTTCACCTTTCCTTTGAGGGGTGTTCTGAGGGGGGCATAATCTCCCCAGTCGGTAGGGCCAGGAGAAAAAGTTAAACCAGATTGAATTTGTTTGTATGCATCATTAACATTGCATTAATTTCATTCAGCACAGGTAGCATGATCACTCCTCATATACTTAATAGTTCTCCCCTTCATCACAATAACCATTACAGTTACCAGCAGCTCTTGGTGAAGCTCGTGGGGCACCAGCATCCAAAATGTTGCAGAGTTGTGTGTAACACTGGGACTTCAGATTATAGATCTCTGCTTTAATATGACAGAAACTAATATAACATTGCAAATACATAGACAAAGGAGTTGAAACCCAAATGCCTTTGTGGACCAATTTTTACCTAAAAAGCATAATAGAAGGCTAAAGGAAGTCAGTATTCTCAGAAAGATATAGCTTATTCCTGGAGAAACAGAACTGACTGATGTATATAACACAGGTCCAGAGGGTATCCATGTGGCAGGTTTTATGCACTCTTCCACTAACAGGGCTAACCCAAATTATAGCCCCAACTCTACCCTCAATGAGTCAATATAGCTACCACATTGGACAGATGGTACTACCTGGAATGCTAGATAGGAATGCTGACTTTATACTATAGCAGAAACTTCGGTCCTGCTGCTAATCTTGGCAAAATATTTTTGTTGGTGGGCCTACGCTCTATCCATTAAAAATTGCAAATAATCAATCAGCAGCTGCACCTTAATAATAGACATGCAACTTTTTTTACCTTCACAGCAACTAAGATCTTGTCTTGCTCAGGACATAGGTTATAACATTCAGCCAAGAAGACTTTGCCAAAGGCTCCTTCTCCCAGCTCCCTCTTGAGAACAATATTGTGGCGCTTGATATGCTGGACAACTGTAACGTAAAGACAAAGTAAGGATCAGCCATCAGTTTCTAGTTGGAGTGTCAATAGCAGAAGGTTACAGCATGTTGAAAGAAGCGTGCTATATGGGTTTGGCAATTCCTACTGAGATGGGTAGTAGAAAGTGGGGTGGCTAGGTTTTGCCCTTTCTCATGATTAAAAAAGGTGAAAAGAGATGCTCTTCTATTCAGTTGTTTAAGGGTCAAGGCTTAAGCATTCCACATATCACTCAAGACAATTAATAACTCTAACACTTATTCAACTTGTGTTAAAATGAAATAAGAGGGTTGTAACTTGGAGCAGCCAAGAGGGCTATTTTAGCAGCCATATTGATTGTGAAATACATAGCACTACATAGGAAAGATGCCAGATGGAACTCAAGGTGGCTAAAAACAAAACAAAAATCACATAAAACAAAGTACTTTACAATATATTCATGTTAATATTTTGTATATATATTTATTTTGAGTATTTATATTGCTGCCCAACTCAAACAATGTGACTCTGGGTGGAGTACAAGAAAAATAAACATTAACAGAAAAGGAATCAACCATACCTCATTAAAAAGTAGTCCAATATATAAAATGGTGAACTGAACAGGTTAATTTCAAACAAAAAAAAGGAGACTCCAGTCAATGAATCCCACACGGCTGGAGAAAAAGTCAAGTACTTGTTCCCAAGCCTAAAACCTTAACCAGTTTTCTGTTACTTTCATTTAGACAATAGGGAGCATGTAAAATGAAAAACAAAAGGGGGGAGGTGTGAAAAAAGAAAATGAGGGGAAAATGACAAAGTTTAAAGAATGTCAAAGTTTGGAATGCTGCTAGCACTGGATGGGACACCTTAGCTGGACTTCTGGCTTCAAGACAGGCTGCATTCAAATAATTTCTCACAGCTCCCTGGGCAACTTCTTATTAAAGTTACTGGAGCATAAGACCCTACAATCTTTCCAGGCAATTTGCTTCATTTCCTTATTCAGCTGAGTTTGTACTCAGATATGCCACTATGATGGCTTCTAGTAACAAGTACTTAAGAGTACTGATATTGGTATTTGATGGAGCAGTGCCAGCCCTGTCCAGACTGAATCTTTCTGAACAACTTGGGTGGTCATAGAGGGAGACTTCTCAAAGATTTGAATGTGTCATAGAAATCTCACAGAGTCCTAATCATGTGGTACAATCTGGCCCATGCAGGGTTAGGAAAACTATCACAGGGAGAGTTATTTCATATCTGTCAAGGGCAGCATGGATTGTGTCTGTGCATGTTTCATTTCACTTAGATTTTAATTTTTGTTTCTTAAAAATCAAATCAAAATGGCTAGCAACCATAAAAATAACAAATATTATAACATCAGTCACTAACATATTTCCCTCCACCTTAGAAGAAAACAACCTCCAACTATTCAATCAAAGCAAAGAATGCCAAAGCAATACTTAATAAAAATAAATTTAACTGAGAAACCCAAACTTACAATGCAGTAAAGAAAGTGATAAAATAAACACATAATCATAAAACCATTTGTAGATGTTACATTTGTATAGAATCTACATGAGTATGTAGTATAGATCAGTTGCTGCAATCTTCATCCAAAACTTTCAAGAGGTCAACACATGTTGACCTGAACTCCAATTGGATTTCTTTCAATTATCACAAAATGTGGTGATGGCCACCAACTCAGATGAATCACAAAGAGAATTAGACAAATTAATCAAGGACCAATCAATCAATGGCAGACAGTCCTAATGGCTATGATACTTCAAGAACCAAAGGAACCAAGTCTTTGAATACTGGCTCCTGGAGAACCAAAGTAGGAAAAAGGGGCTACCCCGTATTCTGCTTCTGTGCTTATTATGGGCATGGCAGGGAGTGGGGGAATGTGAGTAGACTGATCTTTAGTCCAACCAGCATTGTTCAACTTGGATAAATAGTAGATGAAGAGGAGAACTAGAGCACATTTGTCACCATCATTTTTTAAAATTCCTTTAACAACTGTTCCCTTTTATTAACTGGAAAAAGGGACGGGGGGATTTCACATAACCCAGGAAGATAAAGTATGTCCTCTTTTAATTGAATCCAGCTTTCTCTGTGGCTCACATCTCTTGCTTTTTTAAAATTAAACTGCCACTTACTCTGTTTCATTCAACAAGCAGGATAAAGAAGGCATTTCATTCTAGCAAATATGATTTACACTTGTGGTCAAGGTAAAAAGCGGAGAGTAAGAGAGAAGAGAGAAGATGGGGCAATATTTCTAACAGAGCTTGTACAACAGGCTGCTAAAGGAACTTATTGCTAATAGACTTAAACTTGATTCCACTGGTATTTTCTTTGAAGTCTCTTTCTGCATCTTTTTGAAGATAGATAAGATTTAGTGCTTAAGATACAGGACTAGACAAACTCCTTGGTTCTGATTTTGTTTTTTGTTTTGTTGTGTTGTGCCTTCGAGTCACTGTTGTCTCCTGGTGACTGCTGCATGCCACTAATGCTACATAACTCTACCTGTTTTATAACCATTTGAGAGGATGAGAAGAGTATATAGTAGAGCAAAGGATATTGCAATAATAAGATAATGAAAGCTAGTTTATTTGTTTATCCTTATTCATAACATGATCTTTGTAAAGATGGCTCCAGAGTCCAACATCCCACCTGTAAACCGAGTAAAGGAATCTAACCACAGAGAAAAGTAAACTTCCAGTTGTAAGCCCAGGCTTTCCAATTTAATTGAGGCTAAGCCTGGCTGAGCTGAAAGGTTTTTATGACCACCCGAACCAATCTTATACATTGATCTAGCTAGCTTACTGTTTTCTACAGACTTCCCCAACTCAGTGATATGTACTGGGACTTAATTCCCAGGGCGTTGTAGCACCAAAACATGGTGGGAGAACCATGGGAGAATGCTGACTTACTTTGCCTATTAGTTGCGCCAAAATATCTAGGCAAAGGTCTTTCTCCACACTTGCTGCTCAAGTCCCTTTCACTGGAGAACCTTGACACTGAACCTTCTACACATGCCCTAAGATGAGTGGATAATAAGCTTTGTGAACTGAATGAGAAGCAGGCTATATGTGCAAGACATTCACTCTGCTGCTAAGGGCCAAGGCTAGACCACCTGACAGAAAGAAAGAAGTGCTGGATTTATTATAAATGAGGGCTGACATTTGCCCCAGCGATGCAGTGACAGGGAATCTACCTGAATCTCAGCAGGTAGGATAATTCTTAATATGATGTAAGTCCAATGACAAGCAAGTAATGTCCTTTCTGTAATTTTTCTGTACTAGCTGCTGTTCTTATTCTCTCTCTCCAAATGCCTCTCTTTCTGAGTTGATAATTACAACATTTGATGCCAAGCAGCTGTCATTGAGGAACAGGAGCTGCCCAAATACTTCCGCTGCACAATGCATGCAGGCTTATTGGCTAATTTAGCACACTATAATGAACTCTCTCACAGGCTGCCTTCCATCCATAGCATGGGACACAGTGAAACACAGGCTACAAACTTGGACATTTTGTTCTGATGCATCTGAAAGGAGAGGAAACAATTGGGAGAATCTGTACCCACAGTTGTCCCTCATACACAGCTCATTGTTGCTTAAATAGCGAGCATCCGGAAAGCCTCCAAGGGTGGCTGGGATTGTCAGAAGGATAACGGATCTAGCCTTCTGACAGATGTAAGGTGCTGCTGAATAAGGATGCACATGGCCAAAGGGCAATTCACATACACACACATGCATGCTGGAATGGCTGTTTCAGCTTTATTAAGGCTTTCACTTGCTCAGTCTAATGAATTTGACCTTCACACAGCACACACCAATCTTTTTGAGCTTCTAAATTTACTCTTTTATCTAATTGCATGCTTAAAAATCCTGTTTTCCTCCAAGAAGCTTAGCATATAAATCCTCCTATTTTTTTTAATCCTAACAAAGAGATAGCAATGAGCCCATGGTTATTTTACAACCCTTTTGGTTATGCAGATATTTGAACATGGTCTTCCTTAGCCAAAATCCAACAGTCTAACCAATTCTCAGTTCTGGCTGTCATACTGCATATGAATGCCCAAAGAAACATCAATTAAGAAGTAAATCAAGTACCTGACTGGGCCTGGACATCTCATATAATAGTTGGGAAAAAGCCATACACACAAATCTAATGTGGATTGGTCAGAGGACCAATCAGCACACATTCATCCTACACAGGCCTTAGGAATTTTGATGGGGAGAGAAGGTGTTGATCTAGCCTAGGATCTCCGCTTCCCCAGAATATTCCTCTCCCAACCCCATAGGAGTTCTACAGTCCTTGAGGGAGTCTGTTTTACAGATGGAGAACTTAAAACCTAAGGCCAATTGCTCTGTTTGTTAAGAAGACCAAGCTGAGATTCTGATTAATTAGGAATCCTTAATTTTGCAATTTTAGCTAAAAGTGGTATGTGAGCATTATGCACAAATAATGCTTCTCTCACTCTCTACTCACTGCTGCATTTGAGTCTCCTATTAACTGAAGACTGAACTGAATGTCATCTTCAGATAAACAATGGATATCGCTTTTTTTCTACTTGTCAGCAACGTGCTGCTATTACTTGTCTTGTTTTAAACCTTCTGTAGTCAGGGTTTATTAAACATGTTCCACATACAAAAACTTCTGATGTTCATATTATTAAGCCTGTGTGAAATGACACTGCTTCCAAAGACATGCCTTGATTCTAATCACTGGAGTTGTCTGCTTAAAAGTAGTGCCTCATCTCAAAAATAAAGTGTTGTCCCTCAATGCAGCTAATGTCTCACTTCTGTCAGCCTTATTGTTTTATCTGAAATATTTTCTGTGCCAGCACATATATATGAGGAAAACAGGGGAAGGCCAGGGAAGCACCATTTGGCTGGAAACAGCTGAAGACCTGGCTGTTCTCCCAGACCTTGGAGACAGGGTGATTGTGGTGCACCCTTCTGTTGTGGGTGGTTTACAGGTGGTCCTGCTCTCCTGGTTGATTGTATGTTTTTTCCAT